GGGCTTCCTGGAATCAGCCGCTGATCAGTTTCAGCAGCAGCTGACTTGGGGACGCCTGGGGTTCTTAAGTTGAATCTGTATGGAACTGGTGTCCAGATTCAGCCTGTTGAAACTGATCAGAGGCTGATTCCAGGAAGCCCAGGGCAGAGCAACTCTGCCTCGGGCTTCCTGTAGTCAGCCACTGGTCAGTTTCAGCAGCGGCTGAATCTGGACGCCAGTTCCGACTTACATACAGATTCAACTTAAGAACAAACCTACAGTCCCTATCTTGTACGTAACCCAGGGACTGCCTGTATACCAGAGGGATACAATCAAAAAAGTGAACACGTATAAAATTGACAAATTAGAATTTAGAACAGAGGGGGGAGGGGAGCAGAGGTTAGTGTCTATGAGATAATGATATTAGGGGTGAGTCAAATAATCCTTAGAATCATGGAATCAGAGAACAGGAAGGAACTTTCAGAGGTCATCAAGTCCAGACCCAGGCACTCATGACAGGACCAAACACTATCTAGATCAGTGGTTCCCAACCTTTTTTAGGCCATGGACCGGCAAACCCATTCACCAACTTTTGGCGGACTGGTAACATTTTATTTTCATATTAATTGTGCAAACAATGACTATGCAAATATGTGAATAAAATGTTATCTGTCTGCCTAGCCCCAAATCAGTCCCTTGCTCCTTAGTGCCTAACACCCTTTGACCCCATGCCTATCCCCCAGGCCCTTTGACCCTTTAACCTCTGACCCCTACAATCCTCTTACCCTGTGATCCCACCATGCCCTCAACCAACACCCTTTTGCCCCCACTCCACCCCTGCACTCCCCAGAGTGAGGCTGCCCTCTCTAGGGAGTGTGGCCATTACTACTGCATGGCCATTGGCGGTACACCTGCTCCCTCCTCCTTCGCACCCCTTACCTTCCCAAGCACATCTTGCACCCCCCTGCGTAGAGGCAAGGGGAGTGCTGAGCTCTGGTTGGGCTGTTGTCTTACCTAGATGAGAGAGGGAAGGGAGGTGCTTTCTGCTCCGCCTCCTCACCGCTGGTGGGCAAAATCAGCCACCATGACTACTGGAGCTGAGCCACCATGAACAGCTGACTTCAGCTCTCGCTGGTGCCATGGCCCGGCAGCCAGTGTTTCGCAGATCGGCACTGGTCTGCGGACCAGCAGTTGGGAACCACTGATCTAGATCACCCCTGACTTTGCTTGGCTTCCTCTTCCAGACAACAGGCCAGGGAACAGAGCATAAATTCATGAGTTCAAGGAAAATACAGCATTTTAGAGTCCTTCTCTACCCATTGGAGATGCTGTAAGAAGGACTCCTGCCTTATTAGTTTGTCCAGGCCTTGCTGGAGTCCTACTCCAGCCCTCCACATGGCTGTGAGGGCTTCCAATTTCAAAAAGATCTGTGATTCCAGTCTGCCTCCTAACTTTACCATTAAAGGGTAGGAGAGAAAGTCCAGCTTGTTTGCTGTAAGGACTCTGCCCTTTCCAAAGGCCTGACCACACCCAAATGCTGTTTGGTATTTAGCAACGTACACTGTTTGGAAATCTCAGCAATTCTCAGGCACTAGAGGGTGAAATAAGGACAGTTTCCTTTATCTTTAAATGTCCTTGCTTTCTTGGGTTTCAGCCAGACCCTTTGTTTTTTTAATATAGTTGTTTGTGGTTTAATTTCCTTTGGGTTTATTTTTTTAGAATTATTAAACCAGAGAAAACCCAACTTCTCATTGGAATTGTGTAACAAGAGGGACAAGATAAACTCTAACAGCTCGATGAAACTAAATGGTTTTCCCATGAGACCTTGCAAGATTATCCAATAAATCTCACACAACAACTGTGAAATTACTGTGTGCCACCGCTATAAGGACACCTGTTCTTAATAACATTGATGCTCTAACTTGTAGAAGCAAGAGTCAGAATAAAACGGCTGCCCCTGTGTTTTTATCGTCCTCTGTGGTGCCAAAGGACATACAGGGTCTTACAATAGAGTGTGATCTTATGTGCTGTGTGTTGCAATCTTCAGATGTATCTAGATGGCTTAGCACATGCTTTTAAAATATAATTAATGTACTTCTTAATCACATTTTTTTCTGAAAAAATCTCCATTAGACATGCATCAAAACAGTCACCTAAGTAACTCAGAAAAATGCAAGACGCTGCAGCCCAGGATACTCATTGGGGCTGATGTTTAAAATGAGTGGCAACCAACTGTGTATCTAACTGGCATGCAAAATGACTGTTGATTTCACATGCAAATCCCCACTGAGTGAAATACAGAATAGATACACTTTATTGCTGTTATTGTGCATGCAAATTAAGTGTACAGTTGTGTGCTGCTAGTTTGGAAAATTAGACCATTATTTACTAAGCAGGAAATGAGATGCATAAATATATGGTGCAAATGAGAGAGACACTAGTCCAGTTAGGAGTTATCTAAAGAAATAAGCACAAACATCTAAGGCAAAACAAAAACTATTATAAAATTATGCATTCATAAAGCACCTTCACCTCAATGATTCTTAAACTGCTATACAAACTCTAGGCCCATCCTATAGACATAAATAAGGCTAAGTCCCATTGACTTCAATAAGAAATTGGCATAAATTTGATCTGCAGGACCAGTACCTGAGAGTATGAGAATCAATTTGCCTATTCCTGAATTGTGGCCACATTTGAGGTGGAATCTGGCAAATGTTTTTTCTTCTTATGTGGTGTCTGTTACTGGAAGTCTGAAACCATGGTAGTTCATTTTCTCCGATCCTCCCTTAATCTCTGAGCATGAATAATCTTTTCCATCAATCCAAAGTACCATATCATCTATCCAAGCTCTTTAAAGACTTAGTCTTTAAAGTGCTACATTGTCCTGCATTTTGCTTCAGCTACCCCAGACTAACACGGCTACATTTCTATCACTATCCAAGCTCTTGTCTGCCTCACCTGCTTTTGCCAGTGTCCAGCTGATTGTGTCCAGAATCATGGCTCTCCTGTTCAACTCTGTAAAATAGGGGTGTAAAACCTTTCTTGAGTCGGGGGCTGCTGACCCTCAGAAAAAAAATAGGCACCGCACACAACTGTGAAGCAGGAAAAAACCCCTCTCTGTGACCCCTGACTGAGGAGACAACACTCTTCACATTCCCCTGAAACCCCAGAGCCTCGGGGACCCAGCCTAGTAGATTTTGTGTGCTCCAGCCCCAGGGCAGGGCAGGGCAGGGAGGAGCAGCAGGAGGGCTGGAGCACCAGCACAGCCTTGGAGGCCGGATCCAGGCAAGGTGAGGGCTGCATCCAGCCCCCAGGTCTGACAATCCCCACCCCTGCCTTAAAAGGTGCTCAGCAAATTGGGTCTCTCTTTTCATAAGATCCCTGACTACCATTTGCTAAGTTCCAATCAGGAATGAGATTTTTTTCCTTGGATACACAGGATCCCCAAGGAATGTTCAGAGTTCTTCAGTAACCACACCATTCAAAGGACATTTAAGTGCTCCCTTCTTGAGGCAGGCGAAATAAACAATATACAACTGAAATGACAGTACAAACAGGACGTAAACATCAAGATTGAACACAGCTTTTGAGAATAAGGCTGGCAAAAGACAGTGCTGAAGGATTCACTTCTTCCTTTATGCACAGGACTCTCAGGTAGGGATACAAAATCCCATTTAATTAGTTAACCAGTTAAACATAACGTTTAACCAGTTAACCAATTAAAGGGTGAGCAGGCGGAGGGAGTGGGCGTGCCATGGCTAAGATGGCACACCTATGTCCACAGCAGGCCCCGTGGGCTCCCTGCCCATGGTGGGTGGGGAACTGCTCCAGCACCCACTGGTTAACCAGAACCAGTAACATCACTCATAAAAGTGTTGCTTACCAGTCAAACAGTTAACCCTTCACATCCCTACTCACAGTGCTAGTGGAAGTGTCTCCAGTAACAGTGTTGCCAACAATGGCTGTTCTATATTTGGTGGAAGATTTATTTTTAAAGCACCAGCTTCTGGACACACATGAGTACATAAGAATCTCAGCTTTCATTTTAAATAACAAGCATGTGTTTAGCCTTCACAGTTGCAAAGAAAAATCTGAAAACAAGAACAAGTGTATCCTGTAGGGTTCAGAAACCAGAAGGGAAATAAAAAGAAGCTTACGTGTATTTTTTTTTTTATACTCGTGGTTTTTTTAAGCCAGTCCTGTGATTCTGGGGGCCTAATGCTATTATTTTTGAATGTTTAGGGTTGGAAATACCGGTGCCATCCCACCAGCGTCCTTAAATCTGACTCAAAAGGATAACTATTGGGTGTTGGCTCTCCGTGCTCACTCACTGTCTTACCTCTCTGCTGAGACAGCCAACAAAGCTGCCACTTAGGCTGGGAGCTCTTCCTCTCAAGGAATATGACCAAATTACTCTGGGAGGTTCTCACTTGAAACCTCAAAGTGAAACTACAGAGCAAAGGAAACTAAATGGAACATTTACAGGAATCCCTATTTACAGGAATCCTGAGAGATGATACCTCTGAGCTTCACAGGCCTCTTCCTATAGATTAGAATGTCCACTTGATGCTGGCCTCTGATGTCTGTTAATATAATTAAATCACATTCCTGAGGAGAGGATCTCTAGGGATCAGCAGCGCCAATCCTGAGCAACAAGGTGTTGTATCACTGCCTGCCCTGTAACCTTATGGGGCTCTCAGCACTCTGGACTGCTGAAAATCAGCCTATCAGTATTCAGGTCATACCCTAAGGTTACGTCTAGAGTGGCGCCTCTTGCGCAAGAAAATATGCAAATGAGGCTATGTGGTGAATATCGCCATGCCTCATTTGCATACTTAATGAACTGCCATTTTGCACAAGGGGCTTCTGCCGCTTTTTTTCAGGAAGAATGGCTCTTGCACAGGAGGGGGGGGCGTTGTGGAAAAAGGAGCCGTCTACACACAAAATGCCCTTTGCACAAAATGACGGCTTATTAAGTATGCAAATGAGGCATGGTGATAGTCACGGCTTTGCCTCATTTGCACATTCTTTTGCGCAAGAGGGGGTAGTCTAGACGTAGCTTGAGTGTTTGTGTTTTAGACTAGCCTGGTCCAGCAACTTTGACCCCAGCAGCCTGGCTACAGCCTCACTCGGGCTCATACCAACCCAGTCCTGAATGGGTGACCCCAACCCAGTCCTGAATTACCTCAGAACTGTGCCCTGAAGTGTTCAGCCCTCTCGTGGACATCTCAGAGAGAGAGAGAAAAAGATTTGTTTCTCAAAAGGCACAAAAACACTTCACAGTTTAATAAGATCAACACACCCATGTTTTTGTACACAGCAACAAATAGGTTTAAGGTAAAACAAAATATACCAGGATTCTGTGAGTTCAGATAAAAGGAATGAATACAGAGTTATAAATTTAAAAAAACAAACCAAATATGCTTCGGAAAGCTTAAAACTTAATCTAGCAAGATCCAGGCTTTGTTCAAGATAGTTTCTCACCAGTCTTTCTTCTTCCTAGCCATGGTCTTTCTCTCAGTCGGGAGCAGGGGTGAAAGTAACATATTTCTTACAGCTACTGTCCTTATTGAGCTTGTTTCATGAGGCAGGATTCTGTTCTTCTCTTCCCTTTGTATGGAAATGGTGTTCCATTGTTTTGGTTCCACCATGCTTAATTTAAATAGGAGGCAGGTAACTAGATCCTCCCACCCTTTCCTGTCTGGACAGGAATTGTCTCTTTGGTCAAACATTTTAAAACATATCAGTGAGCATTCCTAATTCCTCCTCTTGTGTTAATACCTATATTTTACAATTATATCAATCACCCATGTGTCATCAGCTTTCAGAAAAGACTTCACTCTACATACTTTTATAATATAATCCAGACCCATATGCAGGGGTGGGGTGCTATTTTTGTAAATGTGGACCACAAGGGCATTAATGCACTCTCCATGCTCCCCCAAGTAAGCAGGAAAATCAGCCCCAGCCAGCCAGAGCATGGGAGAGGGAGTGCTTATTTGGGAGATCATAGGGGGTGCTTTTGCACCCTTTGCACCCTACTGCGTATGGGTCTGTAATCATAGTGTATATGCAGTCAATTGATTCAGTTGCTTATCACTTGAGGTCCCCACCCGGACTTTATAAACCAATAAACCTTTGAAATAGATTCTTCTGAAAAGTAAAACGCAAGCCGTGCTTCTCTTTCCTGCTTGCTTGATAGTTTTGTGTATCTGGTCCAGACATGCTGACCCCAGCTACTTTGATGGGTCTATTGACTGCATGTGTAAATTGCAATCCCATATTCTCTGGTCAGCCCTGCTTCATTTGTATTCAAGACCCGGGACTGACCTGTTTACCAACTCTATCTGACATGCCTTGTTTAAACACACTTTAATCATAATTCCCACATACACTCATAACTCTTAATACACATCATCTAAGTACATCATCTAAGTATACTAATATAAGCAGTAAGTTGTTACTTTTCAAAGGATACTTCACGGGATATATTTTGTACCAAGTTTATTCCAGTAATGTGTAGGCTGTGAACAGAGGGGTGTTTATTATCACATGCACCAGGACAGTAGAATGCTTTCATTTTTTACTGCTCTCTCAGTTTGGGGGAAGGGCACCTTGGCCTCCATCTGTAAAGCCCTAACGGTTCTGCCTCAGGACAATATCTATTTCTTCTCTCTACACATACCAATGAGGCACGACCCAGCCACCACCCCCCGGGCTGAAGAGGACCAGACTGTGTTCCTTTTGGAATCCATCAGGGCTGCTCCTTAATCAGCTGGAGGAGCTGCTGTTGAGTGACACAAAGCACTCCCCGCTCTTAGCCCCAACCTGATCTGGCTGCTTGGGGGCTCCTGCCAGCCCAGAAAGCGAGAGTGGAAAGATTTCCCTTTACTTTCAAATCATCTCATCGCACGTGTATTAAATCGCTCCAATTCCCCCTTGCAATATTGTGTGAGCAAAATTACTTCCATTTCTCTTTTCTACTCCCCTCCCTCCCCGGTGCTCTCTTTCCTAAAAGGCAGAGAAGCACGAAATGCACGTGAGTTGCTGCTTACAGCGTAATCCATCATGAATCATCGGTCCTGGGAGATAAAAACGTCAGTTGTTTCATCCCACAATTACGCATTTTCTGATTTCCCTTTTTTATATGCCCTGGTGCTATGTTTCCTGTTACCAGCTGCAAATCTGTACCAGGCATCTCCCCGCCTGCAAAATGCCTGCCGGGAATCTAACCTTTAGTATTGTTGCTGGGCTTGGATACACAAGCCCCAATCAATCATCTTGTTTGCCCAAGTCATCATTGGAACAATCGAAACTGCATGTGCCGCTTCGCTCATAAAGATGTGAATTAACAACCGAAAACCCATGTGCAAAGTCAGGGCTTCCTAGCACCCGCTCACGCCAGCCCATAAATCCCAGTGCCTCTTGCACATTGCTCCAAGCCCGGGAAAGTCAGTCCCCTGGAGAGTTTCTTTGCTTGTTGGGGGAGGGGAGAAGCACAGCGCAAGATGGGGGTGGGGGAGGGAGAGTTCTCACTCCTGCAGTGGGGAGGATTAACCCTGCCTGCTCCAGTTCGGGCTGTGATAAATGGGGAGGATCCAGCGGTGCTGTCAGCTGTGCACGCAGAGGGGCCGCCAGAGCCACTTGAATTCAACTTCCCTTCCCCCTCCCTTCCCCAGCTGCCCTGCTAGGGTCTGCAGGGGGTGCTAGGATGTGTAACCCGAGCCTCTGGAAAGCAGGCGGGAAGGAATGGGCAGGGGAGATAAATGCAATCAAACTCAGAACCCCTCCGGATACTCCTGAGCCCGATGTGTACAGTCACTTTCAGCGCTCTTTTGTGGTGGAGGTTGTTTTGTCCAAAGCTGCCAGGGACATAGAAATTGCCTTGTTGTGTAATGCCCCTGTGCCCCCAGGCAATCCCTCTCCTTCCTTGTGGCTGGAGGGGAGAAAAGAAATTACAGAAAAGCACAACACTTCTCCTCAGAGCTAGTCACTGGTGACTTCTTGCTATTTTCTCTTCATACACAATGTAAGAGGGGGGGATTCAGGTCAATACAGAAGGTATGAACTTGGAACAAACCAAGCAAAACTAGTGTCTCAACTGAATTCAACTGCACAACTGGTTTTCTCTGTTTTATAGATAAGGGTTGTCGATGAGGCACATATATATATATAATTTGAATCCAAGTCTTGTCTCCTGTGCAAGTATTTTCCCCTCTTCCTCCATAACTATCCCCTCCCACTACATCAAAAGTGTTGTTTTTACCCTGTTAGTTAGTATTTATACCCTCCAGAGGGATAGCTCTGTTAGTCTGTAATTAAAAAATTACAATGGTCCTGTCGCACCTTAGAGATGAACCAAAAAATATAGATAGTACCATGAGCTTTCATGTCACTACCCACAATGGGTTGTGCACAGAAAAGCTCATGGTACTATCTATATTTTTTGGTTTGTCTCTAAGGTGTGACAGGACCATTCGCTGATTTTAAATAATTATACCCGCTGCTTTTTTTGTGATGGTACTGCAGTACCGGCACCTCCAGTCAGAGCTCAACAATTTTTCCCCTGGAGTAATGGCACCTTTTTTTTTTTTAACAAAAAAAAGCACTGATTATACCATACCTCACAGATGTTAAGTGCCACATGAAGCGCTAAGCATTATTATTAACATAGAGCTTAATGGAATATTGATTGCATTGCTAATATGTAGCTTTTCCCTAGGAAGTGGGGGTGGGCTTCTTGTTAACACAGAGGGATCTGCAAACATACATTTTTTATCTGTGCATTCGAACTTCAATTTTATCTGCCTTTCATCTCAAAATGTGTACTTGTTTCCATTCAGGGAGATGTCTTTATCATTCTCCAACCATTTCAGAACAGTGCAGTCTGTTGGAAAGGGAGGGAAACAGCTTGCTAACTTGTTAATTACATCTGTGGGGTTTAGCTGTACCCTGCGGAAAGCTAGGTTCTTTGGCTTTGCCTAGAAAACTGTCGGTGGGGGGGGGACAGATTTCAGGTTTTCAGAGTTCAATTTCCTTTGAGAGGAAATAGCTGGTCGTAGACTGGGAGAGATGAGTCCTCATTTGGATTTAATTACTTGAGAAACAGTGTTCCATCATTGGTATTTTTGTGGATTTACCTCTTTAAAATATTGACTGGGGTTGGCTTCTTTTGGAGTCGATGTGTATTTAATTTGTTTTCCATTCGTGGGGCCTGATCCTGCACTCCAAATTATTTGCCTGCACAAAGGCTGTTTGTTGTGAGTTCTCTCTTTTATCTCAATAGCAGAGAGGGATTTAGTTTCCATAAATAGTAAATGGTGACAAACTCTTGCTAATACTGCTTGCTTTTCTTCCTTTCACATGTACTATCCTGAAAAAAAATTGAAAAAAGAAACCACCCTTCAGACCTAGTGAGCTTTTGTTGAAAAACTATTGGACCCAATCCTGCTAAGCTCCTTTAGCTCCCATTGGGATTTTTATAGTCTGAAGTTTTGGGTCCCTGTTTTATCTTAAGTTAAGTGATTGCCAGCTAGCTAACAGTGTTGTAAATGCTAGATTAGACGCTCCACAAACATTTGTTCCATAACTCACTCATTTTTGGCTTCACCCACAGAACTCAGCCTTTCAAGAGTACTCAATGCTTGAGAGGATCAGACTTATTATGACCTGAATAAGAAAAAAGTTTGACCATTTTTTTCACTTTAAGTGTCTACAGTGAAAATAATGAAACATTGCAAGTCTATGAAAGGCGGGGGAGAGGAGGGGTGGAGCATGGCACCCAAGTGTGATTTTTTGTTGTTGTTGTTTTTAATTTTTACAGCGTTCAAAAAACACATTGACCAACCTGTTTACCACATGAAACAAAGCAGGGCTAGGATATTTTCAGGCCACTAAACTTGGATTTCAGACAGCCAACTTGGCCTGACACTCTGGATAAGGCTATAGCAGATTGGCACTGAGAAGTGAGCAAAATATGCATCTGTCTTTGTGCCAACTTTAGGCCAGGCTGCCGTTTTGTTTGGTGTCTGGGGAGCTGGTTTTCAAAATTAAAACTGCCTTCAACCCCCTTTTTTTTAAACGAGGATGAAGAAAGGAGGAACTGAAAGAGATTCCTGTCCAGCATGCGTGCACTGCTCTAGCAACTTTTGCATTGCTTTCTATGCAGTTGCAGACGATTTTTTTAAATTGTTTCATTGTAAAATAGTTTATACATTGTATATATAAACAGGCCACCACAGAACATTTGCAAGCAAGGAGAAAACATCTCTGTGGATTAGAGGGAGGGTGGAGTCAGAGAGTCATTAACTCATTCCACATGGAAAGTTCTCTTTAAGACAAGCAGAAGCTGCAGTGTTTTCTTTTGCAGCTGTAACAGGCTACTATACCTGAACATGACAGCCCAGCAACCAGGGCAGCTGAACAGAAAGTGAACGCATTGTAGAAAGCTCTGATCAGCCTCAATACTTTTTATTATTTTTTTTTCTCTTGTGGGATTAGTGGCTGAAGTGACCATAGTTATCTTCATCTGATGGAGTAGGAATTGAACCCTAAACATTATGTTATGAGGAATGCCAGGCAGGTGAAAGGATTAAGACCACATCTACACAAGTGACTTTACAGAGGCACAGCTATACCGATGCTGCTGTTAAGATCACTCAAGTAGCGTCTCTATGCCAACGTGACAGGACTCTCCCATCGATATAATAAAACCACCTCAACAAACAGCCCTAGCTTTGTCAGTGGGAGGAGCTATCCCAACAATAGAGCAGTGGGTAAGCTGCCACTTATGCTGGCGAAATGTATGTCACTCAGAGAAGGGATTTTTTTCATACTCACACACTCACCCCAGGATACAAGTTTTACTACTGTCAGTGATAGTGTAGACATAGTCTAAGTTGTAATCAAAATTTTGCTATGAAAACAGAAAGCATCTTTAATGGTGAATGGGAATATTAAAACTCTAGCTGATTGCCTTGTGAAACCATGAAAAGGAACAAATTCTATACATGCCTTAAGCATTAAATGCATCAGCAGAAACTAAAGGCAAATGGTCTGATGTGTTGCCACTGATGTCAGTGCAAGGTTTAACATTCTCTTCAATGGGAGCAAGGTCAAGGTGTACAGCTATACTGGATGCCTGTTCCACACACTTCTGTGCCATTGAGAGACAGGTGGGAAAAGTCCAAATGTTTCCTGCCCCCTGGGAAGTGGATAAATGCACACCTTGCAATATCAGGGTGTGATTTACTGCACAGTTACCTGTAATGTATTCTTTACTTGTCTATGTAGTACACCTGTTCAAAAATGGCAAATGTTCTTCATGGGAATGTTTTTAAAATTCTTTTGTAAATTTCTCATGAACATTTTTGTGAATGATGTTTTTTGGAAAAATTGGTTTTCTGCTATTTTTAGCAAATCTGTATATGGTTTTCAGTAAAATTATTTGGTTTCCTGTACATAAAGATCTAAAAACATAAATCTGTGTAATTGACAAATGAACTGGTATTTCATAGCATTTGGAATTCTGTGTATAAGAAAAGAAACCAACAACAGAATAAAAAATAATGAGATTATTTTCTTTAAGAGACAGTGGTGCTGAGCAATTATGGCCTAATTTTAGTGAACTTTGCATCAGACTCATAGACCTGGTCTACACTTCAATTTAGATCAAATTATCCACATTGCTCAGGATAATGAAAAAATTCACACCACTAAGCGCTGTAGTCAAACTGACCTCACCCTGATGTAGATAGTGTTAAATTGATGGCAAAATTCTTCTGTTGACCTAATTGAGGCGGATTAACAGTACTGGGGGGGGGGAACCCTTCTATTGTTTTCTATACCAGTATTTCTCAACCTTTTTTTATAAAGTTCCCCTTTAAAAAAAAGTCATAAGTACCCCCAGCACCTACAGTTTTCAGACACGCACAATTTTTTTCTACCATTGCAACACATTTGTTTAAACAACTTAATCATAGCTGGGTGGGCGATGGAATTTTTGGGTGTAAAAAGTACAAAAATCATAAAGTGCTATAAAACTTGAAACAAAAATTCTGTTTTCTCCAAATTTCAGTTGTGTTAATGTACCCCCCAGACTTCTCTCAAGTACCCCAAAGGATACTTGTACCACTGGTTGAGAAACACTGTTCTACACTATAGCAGTGCAATTTTCTTCTCTATAACAGTGCAGCAGTGTCACTATAGTGCTATTAGTTTTATGTTTCCATGGGTTTCTCCACAACCTTGTAGTGGTGGAGAGGCTTGCATGTTCCAATGACCCCCGATAGCAACGCTGCCTGGAGTCATGTATTCCTTAGGGTCACCCATGGCAGAACAGTCAAGGGCGAGGTTCCAGACAAAGTGTGATCCAAGAAGTCCTCAATGGCAGAACAGATGGAGGATAACTGCAC